AACAGAAACTTCTTGTCAGCGCTGCCCCGCGAATTTATCAGTAAAATAGTTTCGCAGCTGAAAAGCTACATGACATTTCTCAGTAGCGAGGTTCATGAAGGAGTTTTACTTAAAGATTCGCTATTAGTAGACGCTGCGGCTGAACACTGCTGAGAGACACACAGACGCAGGTATTCATACGCGCTTAATCTCTCTCTCTCTCTCTCTCTCTAAGAGCGTTCAACTGCATTAATAACTGCTTTAGCCTGCATATCAATGGCTCAAGCCTCTGTTATTAGCTCTAAAATGACGTTTTGGAATTTGCAACGGAAGGTTTATGAGGTGCGTAAAAAAATTAAGAACTATAGTTCAACACACACGAGATTTCAGGATGGAAACATGACAGATGTCTTGAAATAAATCATCTTAACAATGTCTTGATGTGTGGTTGTGACTCCAGGTCGTTAAAATTATTTGAGAAATAATGCACTCCTGAAGTGGTTATGTGGCCACGACGCTGCACCTATTAATGGAACGTCTTTCTAAGTTCTCAAACAAATTAAGAACTACATTCGATTTTTATTGATTTAACGCGAGCGCTTATTGCGATAGAAAACACTGTAACGGTTTCCGCTGATTAAGAATTATTTTTGCTTGCTTGGGTGGTAGCTAATGTTAGGCCTATTATATTAATAGGGAAGGGGGGACCAAAAATTTGTCACGAAAAGAGGTAAATCCGGCCCTGCACAGAGCCCTCGCTGACATTTTTATTACGCGTGCAGGGCAGGAGAGCAGCCCAAGAGCTCTTTATCCCACTAAATATCTGCTCCACACAAGAGACTACCTCTTAGCATACTGTGACGAGCGTCCCGAAGCTTCATCAGCGTCGCCCTGGAAACAAGCGAGGAGCACCTGGCCATCATCATCACAGGCTGATCGGTCACAGCTGCACCTCATCAGGCGGCGGCTACATAAACCACGCAAGCCCTGCCATCTAGGAGATTCCTCCATGAGACTGAGCACTAACTCGCCCTCTCACTTTTCCCACAGAAAGCAGCGTGTGACCGACCAGCCCCACAGGAGCACTGCACGGACCCTCTGCACTGGGAAGACGGAAGAGAGCACTCACGGCACCGGAGCACCTACCTGGACCTTTCTCACTAACACCCATCACCCCAATAAATCCACCCTCCGGGGTATTGATTGAGATTACTTGTCGTGTAATTCTTCACCCCATTACACTGGTGGAGAATGCAGGCAAATCAGTGAAGAATCACCGACAAGCGATCTTCTTCACCTCACCTTTTTTCCTTGTTTTTGTCTCCGGTTTCTGTCACAGGCGAGCGCTCCTCCCCCACCATGGACGAAATCCTCCAGCGGCTCACCGAGGTTAGCATCCGCCAGCAACAAATTGTTGAGCACCTCGCCACCCGTCAAGGAGAGACGGAGCAGGGACTCGCGGCACTGCGTGCCGCCGCCGCTCAACGCGTTCCGCTGCCGGACCCCCGAGTGCAAGCCGCGAAGCTGCTACCCAAGCTGACCCCTCATGATGACGTAGAAGCCTTCTTACAAATGTTCGAAGCGACGGCCACCTTGGAAGGGTGGCATCAGGATGACTGGGCACGGGTGCTGGCTCCCCTGCTGACAGGTGAAGCGCAGCGTGCATACTTCACTCTTCCCGCCGCCTCCGCCGATCAATATAAGGAGGTCAAGAAGGAAATCCTAGCCCGCCTGGGGTTATCCCCTATCTGTGCCGCCCAGCACTTCCACGAGTGGGAGTATAAGCCCCGTCTGCCGGCCCGTGCCCAGGCCGCCGAACTCACACGACTCGCGCAGCACTGGCTGCTGGAGGGGGCTCCATCGGCTGGACAGGTGGCGGAGCGCGTGGTGATTGACCGTATCCTCCGAGCCCTTCCCCGATCCCACCGACAGGCAGTGGGGATGAGGAACCCAACCACCACCTCCGAGCTGGTGGAGGCTGTCGAGCTGGCGGATGCGGCCCAACACTGGGATGCTGGGGAGCGAGCGCCGCCATTTCCCCGGAGGGTGGTCCAGGAGCGGCGCGCGTGCCGGAGGGCACCCCGCGACCAGTAGGCAGGCCGGCGGCTCCCTCTCCGCGGGATGAGCCCATGCCAACAGAAGTCCCCGCACGGACCTGGCTGGCAGGCTGCATTGTGCACCGCGACCTGCCGGTTGGAGCGCCAGAG